ATTTGGTGCTTTCTAATATTAATAAATAATTATTGTTTTTATTGCTCAATGTTATATCTAAAGTTTAAATAAATGTCTTTATGTAATATTAGCTATAAGAATATTTTAATAATATTTTATGCTTTATGTCAATTGTTTGTTTTTTAGTTTAGCTAGAATTTAATCAACGATTAATTTTTGTAGCAGTGAATGATTAAATTATAAAAATAAGTTATTACTTTTTGCAAATGCGAAAAACTTCATACTCGTCAACCGAAAAAGTAGTAGACTCAGTAATACTATCTAAGTAATCATCTTTCTGACACGAACAACTTCCTTCTAAATTGAAATTCTCTCTCATAGAAAGATCTTTATCACCAAAACATGGGCCATAGCCCCTTCCATTGAATCGAATAGCATAATAAGATCTTTGTCTTGATACACGACTCAATTTTGCATCTTCGACCATGCCCCGATTTCCAAAAGTAAACAGAAAACTATCTTCAGTATTCCAATAACCATCGCTTGCCATCCACATGATTGGGCTATAGCCACCAATAATTTCATTAGTACCGTGAATTTTCATCACCACCACAGTTCTACCTTTTTCATCACATCTATCATGAAAAGTGCCAGAGTCAAAACCATCTCTCGTTCCTCTAACAAGTAATTGGAAACGATAAGGAATTTCATCATAAAGATAACGTTTTTGGCCAAGACGATCAATCCAGCTTGCTAATAAAGCAGCATGACAAGGCCTGACAAGAGTGGAATCAAATTGCAATCTTCGGGCCGATACAACAGGTCGTGGAGGAGAAGAAGGTTTCAAATGGTATCTCATAATATCTTCCAAAATACCCGGGGGCAAGATACTTCTAAACGGCCAAACTTTATCAAAAAAATCCGTGGAAGAAATTTGAGAGAAACCAATAAGTGGTATACAATTAGCGATAGTCTTACCCAGAGCATCAAAATTGTCGGGAGTCCAACTTGGAATCTTAGCAATATCTAAAGAAGGATTTTGAGCAACGCCCCATCTAATGATATAATCCCAAATTTCTACTTCTTCAATTTGAAGGTTATCAAGCTTTAAGAATGGTTCAAGTAATGAAGAATCCATAGATAAAAATTTATTAGATTCAAAAAGATAATGAGGATTTTTGCAAATGATCTGAAGACAATACTCTTGAAGTTTTCGACAAGATTCAATAAGATGAACTTTTTGCCAAAGTACAATAAGATTATTCTGAAGCCAACTATTTTGTTGATGGAGAAGATATTCTTGTACATGATCAGACAATTCGGTCAATAATAATTCATCTGTAGCAACCAAGAGATCAAGAGCATCCATCACACTTTTGTCAGTCATGGAAACAGTTCCACTATAAATAAACCTATTGATTGAATAATTTTTATTTGTCATAATGATTCATTAGAAATATATATATATGCATATAATAATGAAAATAGAAAATTATTTTATAACTTGTACTTCTGTACTTACTGAAGAATAATTTCAAAAACTTTTGGGGAGATGTTTGGCTTTGAAAAAGTCATAAGATCACCATCTTTTTTTGCCCAATTTTTTGAAAGAGCACTTCGAAAATAAGGAGACCTGGCTCTTAATATGATTGAATGAGCGTGAAATATTTGAAAATTCGGCGACTGACCAACTTCTATTATAACATTACATTCATCTAAACTATCATTTAATAAGTTTCCAATGTCGCGAGCCAACGTTCCTAAAAATTTCGAAGACATGTTTTTTTTTTATAAAAAAAATGAGTTTTTTTTATTATCGTTATATTATTATTTAAAAAAAAAAAAAAAAACAACTAAATAAAGGCACAATGTTTATTTATATACTTTTTTAATTCTTACATGTTTTTAAAGCCACATGATAATTTTATTTTAAACCAAATCAGATTTTATATTATTTATATTTTAATAATATAGATTACGAATGACAAGAATAGAAATTAGGACAATAATTTATGATTGGTAGACAGTAACTGTATTGTTATTCAAAAACAATTCAAGCTTGCATGAGAGTTACAGGTAGATTTTTTTCGTTCTTTACCAAATAGATTTTGATTTAACTAGTTTCAAAACTTGAAAACAAAATTTCATATAATAAAAAGATTCTTGTACTGTACGTACATAATCATGTGTACAGGTTTCATAATCTATCACCATTGCTATTAATGTTTCCTGCCGAATATGGATACTTTTTGATTTACCATTACCCGAAATTGAAAATAATTTTGATTCGACATAATCTTTTTTTAATTTTTTTTTATAACTATAAGTTAATGAAAGACAATGAAAGTCAAAATGAGATTGAAATTAAAATGCAAAATAGGTACTGTATAGTGCAAACTATGGAGGTCGTACTACTATCCCCCCCTCCTCATGAAAAGTATAGAAAAATATCCAGAGGCATATGAAAAATTCCTATACATAGTGCCTCTGGTATAAATATGCACGAAGCTACAGTAAGATTTTAAAATTTCTATTTCGTACTGTACTTTCGGCATACTATAATACTAGTCTTTTACCTTTTAGCAAACGAACTAATCCGTCGTTTATAGTAAAAATTAAAGTTGCCATAGAATCAATCGCTGACACCTTGTATTAAAGAAGAACATATCGATATTATTTACAATTTACAAACTTTTGATACACCGGTAATTAATAATAGATTTTACTAATTTGTTTAATCTGTTACTGTATTATGCCATTTTTCACCTTTCTATTACTTGTAGACAAGGTTCGCACTAGACTATATGAGTGAGGCTAAGGAAAAACCAGGCTTCGATCATATAAATTTTATATGATCGAAGTCTGGTTTTTCCTTGGCGTCACTCATATACAGTCGACTCCCTCAAAGTGCGATTTGTAGTTTTTCTTTTAAGTGCAAGATTTCATGCCTTTTTATATCGATTAAATTCTTCCATGCGCTGCATTTAGAAAGATTAAGTGCATATTATTCTATATACTTTGGACCAAAAAGATCTTGCATTTAGAGAGAGAATTTTATTTGCACTTTGAAGATAATGCACTTAGAGAGAGCGACTGTAATTGAAGCCAAAGGCAACATAGAAAATCAATAAATCAATCTTGTATTGTTGAAACCTATTCTTTAGGATTCTATTCTTCGATTGGTATCTTAGTTGTAGTACGATTTTGATATGAAATTTATAGTATAGATGTACTAAATTTCAATAATTTCTTGTACATTTATAATTACACCTGCTGGAAAATAAGGAGGTTTATAAACGAAAATAGATGAACTTGTAGGACAGTACTACCAAAAATAAACGGGCATGGGCGTTATTTTGAAAATCAGATCTTTCAAAAATAGCAAGCTTGGGCGTTCCGGAATAACGCACACTTCATAAAATATATTATTATACAATAGCAGATAGTAGATTTTGATACATACAGTACGTATAATAAAAATAAATTATCAGTTATGCTCGAAAATAACGTACGTACGTATGTACATGGGCGTACTCAAGACAGCGCGCGAGCGGACATTATTCGCGATCTCTGTCTTCGAAGTTCCTACAAATTAATATATCTGACACTGTAAACTATTATACGTACGTACGTACGTATATGTCGTGCCTCGGACTAACACTTGCGTGAGATTGCAGCTGGCCTAAAAATTGAAGTATGATTTAGGCCAGTTGTTAACTATTTATTTAATGCTGGTCATCTGAGGTGCTGTAATCTCATGCAAGCGCTAGTCTGAAACACAAATAATTCATATTGACATGTGCCGATCGTTATTTTATGTCTGGAAAAGGAGGTTTGCAGTGTCAAAAAATGAAATTGGGCTAAAAATTTTTACATCACTCAGACTACTAAAAGTATAATTAATTACTAATCCAAAGAGGGCTTAAACTGTGAAGCTTAATAAAGATTGTGAGTGGGAAAAGTGAGATCAGGGTCTAGTCTTTAAAAAAAAAAAAAAAGTATTACTTTTAGACTTGACCAACCCAGTTTAAAATATCATTACATATAAATCTTGGACATAACCAGATTTAATAAATCTACACACAATATATACGCCTAACATAACTTGTAAGAATAACTTGTGAAAAAATGAAATACAAATAATATAATACACATGATGGCTATGTTGCAATTTGATTGGTCAAGTATAAAGTGTATTTGCTCATAAAAAATAAAGGGGGATTTTAGGAAGATTACAGCGTTAGTCTTAATTATGGTCCGGATCGAGCAGGCCTCGGACTAGCTCCGGAATCAAATGCAGGTCTTTAGCTCGATTTTGCTCGGATTTTGCTTAACACAAGAACGTGTTAAGGTACCACAAAAACCAATAATAAACCCTAAAAGGGCAGCCACATGTGAAAGGAAGGAACACAATATGAACAGTGTATAGCATAAAGGAGTTTTTGTTATCCTTTGGTATGTCCACCCTCCGAACAATGGGATATAGCTTTAATATTCGATACATATCCATCTTTACTGATCTGTGTCGATTAATACGTAATAAAGTTTGATCTAATTGTGTGCCCTGCATGATTATTTTATTCGATGAAATTCACAAGTGGTTTTTCGGAGCTGGATTCACAATTAGCAGTAGACAATCATTTAACCCAACAATCAATTATGGTTTTATTAGTTGTTTTATTCGATCGATAAACCAATCAATTTGTTTCGCCCTTGATAAATATTCAATATGTCATTTATTTATTGGTACGCATTCGCGGCATTTTGTTTACATGCAATAATTAAAAATATTTTTATCTTGTGTCCAATCAAAAGACATTTTAGGGATTCTCACAAATACCTTATACATATTCTCCGGAGTCACTTTCGTTACTGCCTTTCAAATTATTGCTGCAGATTTTCGTCATTACAGATTATTAAATTTTAATAAATAAATCGTTTTAATTTTTCGTTTATTTTGTGTGAAGAAATAAATAACTTTAAATTTATGTAACGTGCATCGGTTAAACATTGATGTTGCGGAGTGCAGTTTTACATTGCTTAGTGATCTAAACTTTCTCCGATAAACGAAACTGTGTAAAATCTCTCTGCAGTCAATTAATGTTACTATGTTTATTAATCCTTTGTCCAAATAAAAACAAAGACCTATGTAATTATTATTATTCTTCGCAATAAAGAAACTATTGAAGCTTTCGTCCATTATAAAGCTTGAAATTTGAATAAATCGGTGTTGGTGAAACGAGTAAAAAACTATCTTCCATTGACATTGTCAAAAATGTGACTCTATTGTCCTTTTAACCATTGTTGGATCTGAGCCCAGCCCGACTGTTTACGAATTTATAGTAATGCACTGATGCAAATCTGAAACACTTTGATATCGGTAACGTGATTTTTTCATCACATATGACGTGATTACCTTTGAGAAAGGCCTTTGACGTATGTGCTATAAAAAAAGTTCTTTCTTCACAAAGTATCTTTTATATTACCTCGTGGCTCGATTCTGTGCTTTTTTATATAACGTTTGCGTTTGCGTGCCCGCAATTTTGATCACTGCTCTGTGCATGCGTTTCTATCTTCTTGCCTACAGCTAATCTATTTCAAGTAATTATTAAGTTTTTTCTTCATTTTTCACAAGATTTTAATCATACGTATATCGATATTTTGATACGCGTTACGTATTAAAGTTAATGTTAATTATTTATCTGTTACGTATAGAATTAATAACAATAAAATATATATAATTAATACTCAACAACGAATACGTATGTGATAAAAAAAAGAAACCTTGCCCGATTTACTGCATTTATTAAGAGATATCTCCGTGGTGCTGTGTTAAGTTGTACAAGATACTTCTCAAAAATCTTTCCAAATGGTCAAATTTCTCTAATAAAAAAAAAACCCGCATTTTTTTACCATCAAAAAAAAAGTCACGGTTAGCAACCTTTTTTTTTAACTAGAAACTAGAAAAAACGTGGTCTTCTAATTATTAATATATTTTTTTTTCTTTTCCTCAAACTTTTTTTTTTTTTTTACTAGTTATTTCTTCGAGAGTGGTTGCGCCGAAATATTTCTTTTTATATACCAACTTCAACTTTCCTTCTCCTCTACTGCGCATGAGATAAATATACCCTTTTAACAATACTTTCGATACTTATTTTACTCATCTACATAAAAAAAAAACATTTTGTTTTAAATACAATAAAAAAAAAAAAAGTTATTAATATTTAATAAAATTCAATTACAGAATAAAAATGGAAGAAACTTCTAATCCCGAAATAAGAATGGAAGAAGAGACTTATCCCGAAATTCTTCATGGAGAAGAACATAATACTATACAAAACGCAAGATTAGAAGACAAAATACCCGTGGACCAAGAGTATAATAAATCAAGTCAGACATTTCAAGATAATATTAATATTTTAAACAACTTGATTCCACTGATTGGTCCCGGCAACCCTCTCGAAGAATACTTTAAAGATACCCAAAGCTTATCGTCTTGGATGGCAACAACTTTTGAAAACTTCCCCGCGTTTCCATCAAAAACAACCCCTCAAATCGATCTTGATTCCATAAACTCCGCAGAAGTTTCACTAAGCGGAATAGAAAATAAATTATCAAGTAAACAGTTTGAATATCTTCAATTAGGCGACCTCCTAACTAAAACGAACTCTCTTGTTGAGACTTCTTCTAATGAAGAAGTTAAACAAAACCTTGTAAAAATTTCTTCTTCTATAGAAATCTCTTGGAATGCTTTTACTAGTTTGGTAAATTTAAGTAAACTTAAATTACAAGAGTTAAATTGGGTAGTTGAATTAAGAACAAAAATGGGTGATGTGGATGTTGAAGTTAAAAAAGTTGAGGCTATGTTGGATGGTGTTGAGGAATCAATAAAGAAGGCTCACGATGATGGTGGTGCTACCCCTAGTCCAAATAATACTGGCATTATAAGTACTACTTCATCCAGTGAAATCACTGTCACCGGTATTATATTCTCTACTTCAGTCTTGGATGAATGGTACACCAAGGTTGTCGCCGTGGAAGAGTTGGTTCTCGGTGTTGATGGTGTTGATAATAAAGTTAAAGAAATTAATCAATTTCTCCTACACGATCGATTCATAGCACCTGATGATTTGATTGATCATATTCAAAATATTATCACTTCTAATGTTTCAAATCTTAAAAATAAGATTAACACCACAAAACAAAAACTTCAACATGATCGTCGTATAGGAAGATGGTTTGATGATGCTAATGAAGTTGATAAATATATTTCTGATACTAAAAATAAGGTTAAAGAATTAGAAGTTCCCGATTTCGTTAATAAACATGAATGGTCTGAAGATGATTTGAATGTTGTATCTATTGTGAATGAGCGAAGAGAAACTTTAAATACTATCTTGAATGATTCTAGTCAATGTAAATCAAAAATTGATGACCTTGAGAAGAAAGCTATCGATATAACTAATGCCATTAAAGATTCAATGGATCGTGAAGATCAAGCTGCAGTCGAATTAATGACAAAACAACTTAAAAACCTCAATGATAGACTCATAAGATTATTTGAGTTTATTACTCTCCTTTTAGAACAAACGACTACAGATCGTTTTTCTATCGTTATAAATATTCTAACATCTATGCAAAGCATGCGTAATCAGATGGCTCAAATAAGAAAAGATATTATTGAATATAACGATGCTGGTTTGGTTCATGGTGACGTCAAAGAACTAGAAACTCAAATAACCGATTTCGAATCTAATTTATTAACTGATGATTCTGCCATTTCAAAAGCTTTAAGGCATAAACATGCTAAACTTCTCCTTACTATTCAAAATATTCGAATTGCTCTGGCTGAAAATAAACTTAAAATGGCTGCTTATTTAAGTCCTTCAAGTCCTACCTCTCCTACTTCTGCTAGTTCCGAATTTGATCGTCTAAGTGTTAAAATACAAGATCAATTAGATGCTTTTCATGCTCAACTTGTATCACCTCCTACTTATATGATTGATACTACAAATTCTGAAAATGATGAACCTCAACGTATTCATGGTTTAACTTGTACTGATGATCATGTTGATGAACTTACTGAACGTTATGGTAAAATTGACTCTGATTTAACCATTTTTGAAAGAAGTTTGTGGGTTGAATTTTGGTTGAAAAGTGAACCTGCCAAAAAAACTCGTGGAAATGAAGTTATTGATCGTATAAATGATTTAGAAGCTAAATTCTCTTCAATAAAAGATTTAATTGAAGAACGAAAACGTGATCTACAAAATATCAAAGAGGGAAGAGAATTTGCAAGGAGTGCTAATGAAATTCGTGATAAACTTGATGAAGTTAAAGGAAAAATGAGAAAGGGTGATACAACAACTGATGCCTCAATTCAGGAATTGGATGCTCTTATGGTCGATACTAATAAAATGTTGAATAAACTTGAATCTTCTTTTACCCTTTTAATATCACCTGAAGCTCAAGATCAAAGTTACAGAGATGCATTTAATAATCATAAAGAACAATATGTTCGTGTTCTAGCTTGGATCGAAGAAGTTCGTGTTTGGTTCAAAGAAGCTGAACGTATACGTTTATGGATTGATGAACGTATCAATACTTTGGAAAGTGTTCCTCAAATTGATGTTTTCCAAGAAGGTGATGCACCTGCTACCCAAGAACAAGTTGACGAATGGCAAAAAGACTATGATGAATTAGAAAGAGAAGTTGAAAAATTTGATGCTGAAGACATGACTCGTTTAAGAGCTCATGTGAAAAATATAATGGGAAATGAAGTGGCTCCTTCGGACTCGATGTCTCCGGCTGATACTATGACTATTTCCATTACTTTACAGACATTAACAATTCTTGATCAATTATTAGAAATGTTGAAACGTCGTGAAAATGAATTGGTAGTATTGGCTTTACGTGTAAAATGGGAACGTGAACTTGGTAAAGCATTGAACGTTCGAGATAGAATAACAAGTGAAATTAGTGAATTTATCCTAAATAGAGGCAGGTGGAAACCACCGGTTTCACCCAGAGAAGATGGCTGGTTTATTGATTCACCTCAACCTAGGCAACGTGATGTTACATTAGAAAATCAAACACATAATAATAATATTGAAGACTTTGAAAATAATATTATTCCTCCGACGGGTGAAATTTTTGATGAATTAGTCGATTCATCAAATGTACCAGTTCCAGAACATTTGCTTGTGAGGCAAGAAAATATTGAAGAAGGGGATCTTCAAGATTTAAAAGATTATTATACTTTCGCAAGAGACGTTATAACACAACGAAAACAAGTTCTAGATTATGCAGAGACTGCGGGAAACACTCATACAAGAGGAATTAATTTAAGGGATGAATTGATTAAAGAAGAAGAAAATCCACGTGGTGGATCAGTGGAAAAGGACTATCTTGCACGCGTTAATGAACTCAACAACCGGGTTGAAACTTCATGGAATTCAATGGCTATGAAAGTTATCTATCCAGAACATAGTAGTCATGACCCTGCCGAAAATGATATCGTTCGTGAAGGTGTTACCGCCTATCACAAAAATTTGCAAGGGTTACTACAGGAAACCAATGAAGCGTTAAAAAATTATCAACGTGCTTTACGATTTGTCAAAATGGCCGAAGAGTATAAAAAGGAAGCAGCCCGTTTGGAAGAATGGATTACCAAAAAGGATGATTTTGTCAAAAATCGTAAATTTGACATTTTTCAAGAACCTTGTAGATTCTCTGCCAAAAGTATAGAAGATTATGTTACTGGAAATGCTCAAATAGTCATGGATGTTCATGATTTTGATAAGGATGAGCTCAAAGTTCTTCAAGCAAGAGTTGCTGAATTAGTTGCTGAAATAAAAGCCGTCGGAACAAAATGTGTAAATACCGAAGAGCTCAATAATATGATGACCAATCTAAATACAAAACTTGGTGTACTTCAAGATAATATTCAAGTCCTACGCCAACGTGAACCTGACGAGGTGGATGCTGCACAAAAACGACTCGCTTGGGAAGATTCATATAAAGATTCACGTAAATTTATTGACTCCTCTCTCAAGGAATCAAAAGATTTTATGGCATCTAAAGCTTCATGGAATACTAAAACTCCTGAAGATAAATCTGCCCGTGAAGGTCTCGAACAAGAATATTCTACATTCAAAGAAAAAGTTGAAACTCATTTACAGATGTTTGAAACTGATCATAAATCAAAATATGACGCATTTATTGAAGCGAGCGAAAAGCTAACCGATAAAGATCGCAGAAACAATATTGAAAAACGACAATCCAATCTCGAAAATGATGCAAACAAACTCAATGAACACGTATATTATACTCGTGATCTCTTGGATCAACGTGCTGCTGCTGTCGAGTATAATTTCGAAGCAACAGTTTTGGACAAAGTTGCAACCGAACTTAAGGCTAGTTTGATTGAAGCAGAGAAAAATGTTTCAAAAGGTCCTAGTGAAATTGATTTTGATACAAACATAAAAGATTTCAGCCAAAAAGTTAAAAATCTATGGGAAGAATATGGATCAAAAATTCCATATCCTTCAAGTCCTATTATGAACGAAGTAAAGGTTACTAAAAATGCGGTTATTAAAGAGTCTGCTCAGAAACGACTTTCTTCTTTAGAATCTATGGGTGAAGAATTAGAAAAGTTATATGAGACTTATCAATCCTCTCTAGCACTCCAAGCACGTGCTAACGAATGCTTGAAAGATTCTTCGCGTGTACAAGATTGGATAGTTGAACGATTAAAAGACCTTAATGATCGCAAAATTGATCCATTAGCCCAGGATTGCTTATGGAATGAATCTCAAGTTCGTGAGATGATTGAAGAACATGAAAAATTCAAACAAGAAAATACTAGAGTTGATATTGAAGACGTTAGCCAAGTTCGTCGTAACCTCGAAATGTTGCTTGAGGATATCAAGAAAGCAAATTGTAAAAGCGTTGACCAAAAACCACTTCGCGATGCATTGGACAATCTCAACAAAAACTTTGGTGATCTGCAAAACTTATCATCTTTGCATCAATTAGATCTTAATGTGTTGCAAGAACGTGCCAAATGGGAAGATTTATACGGACCTAATTCTACATTACTTAATGACTTAACAAATCAAGTTAATGACTTTATCGCCAACAAAGCAAGGTGGTCACCCGAAACTGCCGTACCAGAATCCGACTTGCAGCAAGAGTTTACGGAATTTAAGCAAAAAGTTTCAGAATTTGAAGAAAAACCATTAGCATTAACTAAATCTGCATATAACGACATGAAATCAGCGATAAAATCATTTCTATCACAACAACCACCACCACATATTGCAAATCGTCATGTTGAATTCACCCAACATTATGATAACTTGATTGGACGTATGGATTTGGCTAAGCAAGTATTGGATCAACGAGATGCTATTGATGCTTACCTCAATCAATCCAACGTTGTTGAAAATGAAGGTAATTCATTAAAAGCTTTGCTGAAATCTACTGAGGAAAATTGTGAAGCTGATCCAGGATTCGCCGAAAAAATCGCTACTTTTAATGAGTCTTTAAATAATTTGAAAAAGGATTTTGTTGCAAAAATACTTTACCCCAAAGACAAAATATCAGACAAAGATGTTAATGCATCAATCAAGCAGGTACGTCGTTTCCATTATTTAGAAAAATATAGAGTTCGATGGTAAATTTTGGTTTGTTTTTTTTTTAATATCATAGGTGGTGGATGAACGTATGGAAGAACTTGAAAAGTTGTCCAAAGAGATTGACAGCCAATTCAATTCGTATAAAAAAACCATGGAATTTTCAGGAGAACTTGATGATGCACTTGCAAACGCTAAAAGAATTGAAGATGAACTTGATCAATTCATCTTTGAAAAAGCATCATGGCAAACACAAGATCCAGATATAAGTAAAGATGTTGATTCAATGGTCAAAAATTTATTGGCTGAATTGGATAAAATCAATAATAAAGTTGCGGGATTTGAAAAGAAAACGCTCAAGTCTATGAATACTAAATTCGATGAATATCAAAATGTCATGAATTCAGACGAAAAGGATGTTCCAGAACATGTTGAGAAGCTTCATAAAGAATTAAATGAATTACTAAATGACTTGAAATCTCTCGACGATTTTGCTCGAGAAATTATTAAGCAGCGTAAAGATGTCACAGAATACATGAATAACAGTGCTATGTTAGAAAAGGAGGCACGAGAAATTCAAGAGGTAATATTATTTTATTAGAAATCTACATTTATTAGTTAAACACTTAAAAATGAATATACATTATGTAGATCCTTTTAACTAACGAACCAAGCTCACCCGGAGGAGAAGGAAATACAGTTTCTAACGCTGTCGACAGTTTTGCAGAAAGAGTTGAACGTTTATGGGATGATGATGCTTCAAAAATTGATTATCCAAAATGTACGATACAGAATGATAAGGACCGAATAGGTCGAGCGGGAGATTGTAATTCTGTTATACGTGAAGCAGTAAATGCTCAAAATGCATCATTAAAATCATTGGCAAATAGTTTGAATGATCTTCTTCACACACATCAAAATGTTTTACGTCGTAAAAAGATGATCGAATCATACATGAACCAGGCCAGAGACGTTGAAGCTTGGATACAACCAAAATCAGACATTTTGCATAGTATTCTTAATGATGATACTTTAGGAGAATCAACAGAAGGTAGATTACGTGAACTTATTGGCGAAGTCGATAGTGTCGAAGCTGCACGTCAAGCATATAACAGTGCGTTTGATTTCGCCAAAAACTTGGCAGATAAATTGATTGAAGAGATGACATATGAAATTCAACGTGGAGGTGAAGATGTTGAAGACATAAAAGCAGATCTAGAACTTGTAAGCTCTAGGGTACAAGAAATTGATGCATTATGGGTTGAATTACAAGACAACGTCCTCAAGTCTAAACAAAGATTAGAACAAGCACTTCAAGTTGTAGAGTTTAAGGAAAAAGCCAAAGGAATTCTTTCAAAGATTGATGATTTATCTAATGTAATAACAAATAGTCTGGTAGAATCTGTATCTGACACTGAAATGAAAGATTGGCAAATTAAATTAAACTCTTTGGAACAAGCAGAACTTTTTGATCTAATAAAACTTCACGATTTAGCTCTAGAAAATCTAAAAGATAATTTTGGTATTCTGAGTGATAAAGAAACTAAAGAAATTGAAGCCACCTTGAATAACGTTATTAATTCTATTAACTCGTTGAAAAAATTAATGGGTGAAAAGACTGAAGAAATTGAGATTTATAAATCCGCTCAAATCGCTGGAGCTTATATGAATCGTGCTAATGATCTACAAAAATGGATTGATGACTTTATCGTAGCTTTTGCGAATGCTAAACCAACTTATGGTATTATGGGAGATGATAATGAACTGAACACTAAGAATTTCCATGAATTAGTTGCAGTTTTGGATAATTTACAAAATCAATTACCCTATCGTAATGAACAGATTGAAAGCATCCGTGAAGAATATGAAGATATCACCTCACAAGAGGGTATTCGAGAATTAAAAGATATAATGAAATGTCACGAGCATCTTAATAAATCCTGGGATGAACTTTTTGCATCTGTAGATGATTTTAAGAACTTTACTACAAAAGTTGCTCAATGGCATGACCAACATGGTACTATTTATCAGGTTGAAACTAATATATTAGATGGATTAGAATCTCGTATAAACGCTTTACCCAGTGTAGATTTCTCAAATTTGGAAGCTGAAGGCAAAGAATTAGATGAAAATATTAAAAAAGCTGCATTAATACTTGAAGATACTAAAGCTGCAGCTAATCATGTTCCTTTCACGCCGGACGATAATCTCGATGTAACAAACCGACAAAGCTTTGATATTCATCACGATAAAGCAAGTAAAAAACTATTAGAATTGTCAGATGCGTTCAAAACTGCTCTCACTGCAGCTCACAATGCTTCGCAATTGGCAGCGTTCCATGCTGATGCAGATCGAATTATTAAAGAATGTTATGAAGGAACTGCAGTTGTTAAATCAAGACATGAGGACCTTGATCGTAGCGGCTACTATGCTCTAGAAGTTGAACCACTCGCAAATGTGCTTAAAAAAGCTATTGATGAATATACAGAAAGCGAAGACAAATTGGGAATTTATGATCAAAAGGTTAAGGTTGATTTGAAGCAAGAAGCTGATAAACTTATTGACCAAAATCCTGAAGCCAATAAGGATCGTATATTGAACATTTTCAGTAAGGTGACAGGAGCTTTGGAGAAGTTTTCTGACGCTGTCGCACTTGAACGTCGTGAACTCGAACTTGTACGTAGAGTTTATGCACATGCCAAATCTGCACACGATATAAAAAATTGGATGTCATCTTGTAAATTAGCAATGCTGAATATTCAAGTCGGTTCAATTGGTATAATTGATCAAGAAGCAGAGATAGTGGATTTAGAAGAAAAAGTTGCTAGTTTCCAAAATACAGTTGATCAGTTCAAAGATATGAGCCACCGAGTTCTAATACCTGAAGCCGATAGTAGAGACATTGATGAGCCTCAACCTGAGGAATCAAATCCTAAAATTAAAGAATCTGTTCAGACAAGGACAAATAGAGTTTTAGAGGAATGGTATGGTCTTAATGATCTACTTGCAAAATTGAGGTCAAGCCTAAATGCATCGAAGGAAGCTCAGGAAGTGTCACGTACTATTAAAGATATACTAGTAGCCATTGGTCAAGTCAAAGAACGAGTATTAAATGTTGAATCTTTCATTACTGGTGAAGGAGTTCCAAGGTTACCAACAAAAGATGATGTTATTGATGGTGTAAGAGAACTTGACGAAATCCAAAATGAAGTGGATAATATATTAACACCTAGGATTGAAGCACTAGATGATATGATAAATAATTTAACTGAAAATGACAAGGGTTATGTTCAACAACGAGCAGGAATTGCAGAAGCCTTAACTAACCTTCAAAGCCTAATTGATAATAAGAGAGTTCAACTTCGAGAAGCTGAAAAATTGGCAAAATTCGGAACAAAAGCAGATGAAATGAATGCATTAATGAGTTCATTACTTGAAGTAGTGGACGCTGCCACTACCACAACACCAGATTGCCCACTTCAATTATTAAGCGTCATTGACTTGCAATCGCGTTTCACTGAACTGGATACCAAATATAATTATTATCATCCTATCATAGTCCAAAAATTAGCAGACGCACAAAGAGCAGCAGAGCCATTAAAAGATGATTGGAGAGTTGTTGACCGTCTAGGCATTCTGATAGAACAATGGAATGAATTAAATGAAGTTGCTTTAGCCAAAAGAGATGAATTAAGCCGTCTGCTTTCAGGTCAGAAACCATTAATAAAAACACGACCTGGACGATCCAATTCACAGTCAGGTAACCGATCATATCATTCCAAATCACTCTACCTCGTAATACCCATATCTATAACCATCCTTTTATAGTCGCTAACTATCAGGACATTTCATTCTTATTTACCACGTTTAACAGCTAGAGTCATCTCACCCGGTACCTCCCCATCACGTCTCAGGCATCGATCGTCAACAGCAACAACACGGGCCGCATCAAGAACTCCAACACGACTTTCTCCAAGTCCAACGCCAGGTACACCAGGGTCGCCAAGGCGTCCACCAATCCGTCTCTTACCGCATTCAGTCAACAATTACATTCCAGACCCTAAAGATCAACTTGACGTAGAAGTTGCGCGAATAGTAAACGCGTGCCCTGTAAAGATTAAAGTGTCTATGGTTGAAGGAGAGCCTGGAAAGTATATGTTTGGAGAAGTTGAACCTAAGCTATGTTATTGTCGTATTTTAAGAAGCCGTATGGTAATGGTTCGAGTTGGAGGAGGGTGGGCAGAGTTATCGAAGTAAGCACAATTAATAGTATTTAACAATTTTTCTTTAAAGCAAATTTTTGAGAAATTACTAAGCTAACTATTTTCAAAAATGGCGCCGATTGAATAAAAAAAAGATTCCTTGTCGGTATGTATATCATTAATGCAAATGTAGTGGGCAAACACTACGAAGAGACATGTATAGAAATAGCATTATTTATACTGTTTCCAACAATTTAAACCTTAAATTCGTTGGAAATTAAAACATAAAAAAAAAAAAAAAAATTTTTTTTTTTTTTTTATTCATTAATTTGACGTTTACTACATATGACATATATAGATAACAATGATGTCACTCTCCAATTCATTCTGCCACAACAGAACACGCTAACTTGGAACAAAAGTACATCCCCAAAGCCCGATCTTTTGTCGGATCTGACGAAACAGAGTCAAGAACCAACGTCAGTGAGTCCGCTGGTAGTCCCAGTTTTTATGAGGCGAACATCCGCTTCGTCCCGAAGGGATCAGAACTCCGTATCGAAGGGTCAGAAGGGCTCGGCCCCTTGGCGTTGAAACGAATGTCGTATACTAGAAAAGTGAGTAGTCGAGATACTAATGATAGATCACGTTTGATAAAACCAAGTAGCTTGGCAAAATCACCAACAGAGTAATGGAATCCGGTCATTAAATTTTTATATATTGTATGGGTTATGTGCTATATATAAACAATTTTTTCGCTGGTTCGAAAAAAATTACTAGAAGTATATATATCAAGATTATTGGGAGGAAAAAAAATAGAAAATGAGAATCTTTTTGTAGGGGGTTTTTGAAGGAGATGATCTATAATCAAATCTAAAAAAAAAAAAAAAAAGAAAAAAAAAGAGGAAAAAAAAGAAAAAAAAGAGGGGGAAAAAAAAAGAGAAAAAAAAAAAAAAGAAAAAGAGAATAAAAAAAACTGGGATTTTCTTCTTTGTTACTGGGCTTTGGGTAGGTTTGGCGTGCAAACAATATATTAAAAGAACCCCGAAAATCCTTATTATTATACCCATTTTATACAGTATATTTCCTCTTAGATCAAAAAAAAAAAAACGTTTATGCATTTTTTTGTAAAAATATCACTTTAATAAGCTAGAGAAGGATGATTAACAAACAAATTTTTTATGTATATTTTTTTCTCAATATATATATTCAACCAATAACATCAACCACCAACAATCATACACCAATGAACCAAACTGCAAAACAGCATCAGCAAAAACTTTGGATGTGGGCAATGGGGTTGGCGATTTTGGTATATTACTTGTTTGCCCTGAAGGAAAATGGGAACGCTCTGGATTCTTGCCAAATGAAGAATAAACAATTCTTAATTTGTACCTAGGGTTTTTGATTATTTTGGGTGCGAAGGAATAATTCTTTGGTTTTTATAGACTTTGGGTTTTTATGGTTTTGTCTCATTACAAAATATGTAACTTTTTTGTGAAAAAATATATATTATACACATCATTTTTTTATTGTATACACAAAAATAGCAATAAAATTTTAAATAATAATTAATCAATCGTATAAATTTCTTGACTGATATTTTATACATCAAACAAATAACTAGTTAATTGATACTTAACATTAACGCTAACAAAATTGGGTATAAGCGGAAATTTTATTTCCACTTATACATATAGATAACTGATTTATCGTTATACCCAGCGATCTTATATAGTGATCAGGATATAAAAGTCTTAAAAAACATTTGTATTAAACTACAGTGCCAGGCAAAAGTTTTTTTGCACCTATATCTTCTCAGAGAGATTTTACAACCTTGAAACTTTCCAAAAAGTTAGTAAACAAGCTTAGGTTGAGTATTTTTTTTGGTAATTTTTTAATTACTATCATACGTATAAAAAAGTGCGATCGAAACACCGTAGTCATATGATTACCACACCAAATCAGGATTCTTCTAACTTGAATGTATTCCGATTTAATTCATTGGATATACGCCATCCTTTGAAAGAAAAATCATAAACCTTCCTTGCCCTTTCCATTCTCTTTCAGAGAGCATTTTTAGTAACCCCATTTATTTTTTTTTATAGTGAGCAAGAACTTTTCAATGTTGTATGTAATATTTTACTATTTAGTACGTAGACTCTCACAATTTAAATTTAAAAAGTAGATATAATAAAATAACAACCATTATAATGTAAGTTTGGTTACCAGTAGCAAATGCTTCAGACTTACTAGTTTCCAATCTTGGATGTATTAAAAACCAAAAAGGTATAATATTTAGGAAAAACCTCTATAAAAGAAAAGATTATATACAAATAGAATTAAAAATTAATAATGTTTATAAAAATATTGCTATACACACTTTGGTTGTATAAACTTTTATCTCTAACTCAAAGAATAATCCCTATATTAATCACATTAATAGTATCAAACATGATAATCGAACTAATAATTTAGAATAGATAACTCCTAAAGAAAATATATACTAAGTGTAAAATATTTTCAAATCTTGTTTATAATAAATCCAGAACAATTGTGCAAAAAATATTAAACAAAAATATTGTTTAGATTTGGGATTCTATTAGTTTTGCAAATGTTATACTCAAAATTTCAAAATATTGCATTTCAGAATATTGTAATAGAAAGCAAAAACCTTTAGTAGCTAGCATTAGATATATTATAATGATTATATAAAATCCAATTCAAATAAAGAATAAAGAGAAATAGAACTTGGTTTACAAAAATTTAAAGTTTCATCTCTTGAAAACAAATAGTGTATAGTAGTTACCCAAGATTTATTGCATATAAGTTATTGAAAAATTATTTAAGAATATTATATTTATTGCTTGGTTATATTAGTATTTTGTTCTAAAAAAAAAGAAAAAAATATATAAATTATATTAACAGAAATATTATTAACAACAAATTATTTAATTTTGAATAGTATATACTAAAAAAAAGAATTTATCATATCTCTTAAACCATATTCCAGGCAAATTTGCCTGGAATTTTAAAAAGTTTTTATAATTTTTAAATAAAATTAAAAATTATTAATAATATGGGGTATATTTTATATATACAATATTTTATTTGAAACATATTCTATAAGCTTTATTATAAATTTTTTTTAATTTTGCTA